CAAATACGTCCATCTTTTTATTCTAAGTAAAATGTCATTTCCGAAAAATAGAAGCGTAAGTGTTTCAAAAGGTTTAATGGCGGTGGCAGATGTGAAGTTAAATTCACCAACTCAAACAAACAGTCAAAGTGTTGTTGTCAATGTCAAAGAAAGAAGATGTTGAAGTGGGGAAACCATACGAAGACGAAGATGGTATAACAATAGTTCCTGTAAAAGAACAACCAACATATCCTGAAGTTAGCAGAGACTTAAGTTCTGTTGCAGATATTCGAAACGACTACCAACAACTTAAAGACAAACTTAAAACTCAGGAGAAGATTTGTCAAGCTTTGGGTATAATGTTAAACTGGTTGAGCACAACCCTGTAAAAGTGAACTCATATGTCATCGCACCTCATGAAGTTTTGAAAGAACTATTGAAACTTTTGACAGAGGCAGACGATATAAACATCAAAGAAATAGAACCTGACATTGCTGCTGTGGTGTTTCATATAATGTCATTGACAAGATATACGTTATGAAAGGAGGTGAAACGTTGAACTTAAAATATAGTTTCCCAGACGTCATAAAAAATATTTGACGACCACAACATTTCATTAAAATTTACTTGCTAAGTAAATGGCAGAAGACATAGTGGTTTATACTATTACGACTAAAAACCCTGAGTCATATAATTCTATAACAACAAACTTACAAAGTCCTCAAGGACGATATTGTAAACTGACCTTAAACACGATGACGACTAAAGCCTGTTTTGCTCTTTTGACACCAGAAGACTTTGTTGTTGTGAATGGTAAAAAAATACTTCTTTGAAGATACTTACTCAGATATACCACCAACAGGTTTTGTTGACTTATTTAATACTTTAAGGACGGATGTAACATGTGCTGCAACTAGAGCAGGTTTCATTATGTTTGGATGTCCGACTGAGTTTAGTATAAACGATATGAGCTATAATACAAAACTTATATCTGGTTTTTACTACCAACAATTTCTATAACAGGAAAAGGTGTCATACAAGGAATGTCTGTTCCATTGACTTTAAGTACACCTATTTTATATATTGTTTCAAACTTAGGTTCAAAGTGCTATTCGAATATCGACAGAAACTACTATGACCAAAAGATACTCATGCGTATAAACAACACTTTCTCTGCTGGTTTGCCTATTGTTCATTCGAATGCAGAGTTTTCAGCTTTAGTAAACTCAAACACTTTAGCAAACATAAACTTAACCTTAGTCGACGCAAACTTTGTTCCTGTAAAACTTTTATGTCCTATGTATTTGTCAATGACGGCAGAAAGTTTCGAATTGGAAGATGCAACTGGTGAAAGTATTGTACTACAAGAACAACTTCAACAACAAATAGCTCAAGAACAACAAATGCAACAAATGGAACAAATGCAACAACAAAGTCAAGAATAAAAAATAGCTCAAGAATAAAAAAAATATTTTTTTTTATTTTATTTGAAATGTACGCCGAGTTTGTTGGAAAAGACTGTTGGAAAACTTGTTTGTTAGATGAGAAATATGAAATTCACTGTTGTGAGTCATTTGAAGTCAGAAACAAAAAGACAAAAAGAGTTTTAAGCGAATGGGAGCAAAATAAAGGATATGCTAGGATGAAGATGAGTGGGAAACACTATCTTAAACATGTTGTCATTGCAACTCATTTTATACCGAACCCTAACAATTTACCTTTTGTAGACCATATAAACCATATAAGAAATGACAATAGACTTGAAAATTTACGCTGGGTCACATGTTCTGAAAACAGTAAGAACAGAGGCAAAATTAGAGATATTGTATTCGAATTTGTCGACGAACTAGAAGATGAAACAATTGAAATTACAGACTATGGCAAGCATGCGTTTGAGTTTTACTACTATAGCGAAGAACAGGACTCTTTCTACTTTTATACCGGCGTAAACTATAGAAAATTACAAGTATGTTTTACTAATGGCTATGCTTATGTAAACGCTAGAGATACAGATGGAAAAAACGTTAAAATACTTCTTAACAAATTCAAGAAGCTATATGGCATACCATTTTAAAACGTTTTTAAAAAAAATATTTTTTTATCCGATAGAAAAGATGACGAAATATATTTCAGTCAACAAGTACATGACAGAAGTCAAAGAAGAACTAGACCCATTCATATATTTGAATGTTTACTTCTACCATTTTGAAAAGTCTACATTTGACAAAGTTTGGAACATCGAACCTGTTAAGTTTGCTATTGTGACTAAAAATGGTGCGAAATTTGAAGACTTAGACATAGAAGGTTTGTTAGCAGTCAAAGAAAATTTTGACAGAAGGTTCTCAAACCTTAAAGAAGGCAAAGCATACAAACTTGTTATACCTTATGAACCAAAGAAGACAGACGACTATGAATATTATGAGTCTAAGATAGTTGAAGTTCAGGGTAGATTAGGTAAAAAGATTTTAGAGTCTAAGCCAGTGTTTGCCCCTAAAGAGGAAGAGAACATTGACATTGACCCAGAAATGTTCTAAAAATAAAATTTTATTTTTACATGTCAAATTTCTTTTTCTCTGGAACTGGTTCAGGTTTCTTTCTTCTCTTCTTCTACTTTCTTTTCTTTCTTCTCTCTCTTCTTCTTCTTTCTGGTGGAGTTATGTCAAATTTCTCAGAACCATATTTATGTAAAAGTTCTTTGTCCTTTAATAGCTCTTCTATTCTGTTTCCTATTTCATCTTCAAGAACAGCGCATGTGTCTTCTTTGCATTCTAAGAACTTTTGTTGGACTTCATCTTTCCAATCGGTGTCATCTCTGTCAACAAGTCTGTCATTGACAAATTTTAAGACTGCTCTTTGTAATGTTTTATGGTTCTTGTCATATTCCCAGAAACAGAACTTTAGAACAAATTCACCTTTCTTGTTTACACTATGTAAGATTTTATGGTCGACAGATGTTTTAGAGTCGAAAAGTTTGTCTCGAATATAGATAGCGAAATCGCTAGACATTTTCTAAAAGATAAAAATTTTAATTTTTCTAAAAATATGTTAGAAAAAAAGTTTGCTGACATTGACAAGAAATTTGAGAATGTTTTAAATAAGAACAAGAGGAAGTTGAAAATGCTCAGATAAAACCCATACATGACAAGTTCTTATTTGCTCAGAATGGTATAACAGGTCTAATTGCACCACCTGGGTCGGGTAAGACTTTCACTTATCTTAAAATGGCTGCACAACAACAAGAACTAGATGAGAAGAACCCATTCTATGAGTTAGTAGTCATTTGTAGTACTTCTGGTCAATTCGATCAAACCGTCAATTCGTTCAAAGATATTATAAAGAAGTCTAAGTTAGTATGTATAAAGGATACTGAGTTGTTAGATTGGATAAAGAAGTACCAAAGAAGAGTTTTGAAGTATAATGCTATAAATGAGTATATAAATTCTAAGTTTAAAGACCCAAATGAGGAAATGCAGAGAATATTAGAGAAGAAACACTTCAGAAACAAACAGAAAGAGATAGAATACATTTCGAAGAAATTGCAATCTTACGATTGGAAGACTTACCCTCATAGATGTCTTCTTATCTTAGATGATTTCGCCTCTCATCCTTTGTTAAAGAACAGAGAACAAGATATGTGTCGAATTCTTAAGAAGCTCAGACACTTTAACATCTCAGTTGTCATTTGTGTACAGACAGCAAAGAGTTTAAGTAAGGATGTTAAAAGAATACTTACTGATATCATACTTTTCCCTGGATTGTCCGAAGACGATTTCATGGAACTTATGAAAGAGTCCATGGCAGGTAAGTTTGACAGACATGAACTATGGGAGAAGTACAAAGTCATACAAGACCCTCATACTTCTTTCAGAATTCATATCTACGCAAACAAAGTTCAAATTGTAAAAAGTCAAGCTTGAAAATTAAATGTTTTAGTCTTAGTCTGTTGTGGTGCTGGGGCTGTCGGTTCTTCTGGTTGGGATATGGACTCGGTTGGTGGTACGTCGGACATTCGTTTGTGTCTTAACCGTCTTTGTTCTGAAACAATATAATATTGTCTTGAAAAAGTACAACATTGTCTTGAAAAAGTACAACATTGTCTTGAAAAAGTACAACATTGTCTTGAAAAAGTACAACATTGTCTTGAAAAAGTACAACATTGTCTTGAAAAAGTTCAAGACTTGTTCTGAAAAAGTACAGCTGTACTCAAATTTGAGAGACATTGTACTGAATTTATACAACATTGTTCTGAAAAAGTACAATATTGTACTGAATTTATACAACATTGTTCTGAAAAAGTACAATATTGTACTGAATTTATACAACATTGTCTTGAAAAAGTACAACATTGTCTTGAAAAAGTACAACATTGTCTTGAAAAAGTACAATATTGTCTTGAAAAAGTACAATATTGTACTGACTCAGTATGGAGCTTGACCCCTTAGACGAAGCAATTTATCTAATTGAGGTAAATGAAACCGTGAAGGAATATCTCAGCAAGTGCAAACCAAGCAAGCTTGAAAATTAAATGTTTAGTCTTAGTAAGTCTGTTGTGGTGCTGGGGCTGTCGGTTCTTCTGGCTTTGGAAGACATTCAGGAAGAGGAACGTCGGACATTCGTTTGTGTCCTGTCGGAAGGAAGAACTTTTCCAGTTGTCGGGAAAAATTTTTCCAGTTGTCGGGAAATTTTTTTCCAGTTGTCGGGAAAAATTTTTCCAGTTGTCGGGAAAAAAGTTCTCAATTTTCGAAAATTTGAATGGTTTACGGACGAACAACAGGAAAATTTTTTCCAGTTGTCGGGAAAATTTTTTCCAGTTGTCGGGAAAATTTTTTCCAGTTGTCGGGAAAATTTTTTCCAGTTGTCGGGAAAATTTTTTCCAGTTGTCGGGAAAATTTTTCCAGTTGTCGGGAAATTTTTCCTGTCGGAAGGAAGGACTCGGAATGCCAGAAGGATTTGACAAGGCAATTTACCTTATAGAGCTACCTGAGCCATCTGAAGTCAAGCTTGAAAAATAAAGAGTTCATCTACTCTACTTGTTTGAAGTTGTCAAAATACTCTGTTATTTTTTCCTTTAACAATGGCAAATCTTCTTTGAAGGTAAGTATTGTACAACCTTTAATATCATAGTGTGTTTGAGGTAACGTATCTTGAACTATTTGTTTCACATCTTCATTCGGTGTCATTGAAATCGGTAAGTTTTCGCGATAGAACCAATTTCTGTCAGATTTGTAAATCTTAGCAAGGTCGTAAAAGCTTTTGTTGTTTCTTCTGACTAAATGCAACATAACCATATCTCTGTCTTCTTCATTTTCCATCTCTTCAGTATAAATCATATACTTATAGTTCTTTTCCTTTCCTTTTGGTACCGAACGTGGTATTCTTTTCTGTATGCTTTTGTCTTTTGCTTCAATGACTTCATCTTTTGCTTGAAGTTTCTTTTCCATCTCTTCACGTTCTTGTCTATGAATTTCATCTAATCATGAAAATATAACAAGCGTAACGAGGCGAAGCCCACATTGCAACAGCATTTACAAGAAGTCTATGAACATACCAACCTCTCAAACCATTTGGCAAATTTTGACGATTTTCGTACGGAATCTCGTTCCGCGGTTTTCTACCACTCGCAAACATATGAGGAAATTCTTCTAAAAGTTCTTTTGTCTGTTGGTTTTCAAACCAATGACGTGCTTGCTTTGTAGAACGAAGAGTATTCAAAATACTTTGCATTTGGTACATGTCATCTTTGACTGAACGAATGAGACGTAACTGTTTGTTATACTGTATGTACTCGTATTCTTCATTTATGGCTTCATGGACTATAACTGTTGTTGTGTTCTCTGTTGTTGACATATCTGTCTTTACATACAAAATAAAAAAATAAAAAAAATAAAATTAACTTTATTTTTTCTATCTTGTATAAAAGACCAAAAATAAACGCTTTACATGTATTTTTCAGCAACTTCGTCAAGAAGTCTGTAAATATACCATGCATAGCGAGGTGAAGCCCACATTGCTATTGAACTAACTAGGAACTTATGAACATATATACCTTTTAGATACGATGGTAAGTTTTGTCTGTCTTGGTACATCTTTTTAAGTTCTACATGTTCGAACTCACTCAAAAGTTCATGAGTGCTATTTAATTCAAACCAGTCTTGTGGTTTCTTAGTATCTGGTGTAGCACATGCTGTCAAAATACTTTGCATTTGGTACATGTCATCTTTGACCGAACGAATGAGACGGATTGTTTGTTATATTGTATGTACTCGTATTCTTCATTTATGGCTTCATGAACGATAGCAGTTGTTGTGTTCTCGGTTGTTGTCATATATGTTCTTACATACAAAATAAAAAAAATATTTTATAAAAAACTAACTTTATTTTTCTGTCTTAAGGAAACTCATGAAATTTTCATACGGAATTCAGCAAAAATATATTTTTAGGTAGAATGTTAATCTAACATGTTTTCTAACATGTTTTCTAACATGGTCTAAAACATACAAAACTCATGAAATTTCATACGGAATTCAATAAAAATATATTTTATGTTAGAATGTTAGATCTAACATGTTTTCTAACATTTTCTAACATGGTCTAAAACACACAAAACTCATGAAATTTCATACGGAATTCAATAAAAATATATTTTATGTTAGCATGTTAGATCTAACACGTTTTCTAACCTCTTTCTAACATAACTATTTACAAGCGTTTTACATGGTATATGTTGCGATGGTTCATGACTTTAAACAGTTTTGTAGCTTCTATTTCTTCTGTCAGTACATCGAATGTTTTCACAATGTCGAATGTTTCTTTATATTTCTTCTTGACATCAGATAGAAGGAAATCGTCAGCTGTTGGATAGTTTTGTTTAGAAATGCTAACATGTCCATTTTATCTTCTGCTGGTTTTTCTGCTTCTTTCTTTAAGTCTGCATAGTCGTTTCTCATACGTTCTATCTCTTTGACGGAGTAGTTATATTTCCTCATTGCTGCTTTACATTTTGAACATGCGGGTTCATTTTAGCATTGTACATTGAAATAAAACCAGCTAGAACAACCAAGGCGTCAATGGTTTTCTTTAACTCAAAAGTTGCTGGTTTTATCTGTTCGTTCCATACTTTACCTCTTCTATCTTTATCTCTTATCTGCCATACACATTTTGCAACTAACGAAACAAAGTTGTCGTAGGTCTTAAATTCTTCAGATTTATATATGTCAGAGATGTTCTTATATACCATGTCGCAGTCTTTGTCCATGACTTTGTGGTTGCAATGAAATCCAAGAAACTCATAGTTAACCTTTCGTATGAACTTCTTTATTTCTACTGAGTCAGTTGCTTTGACTTCTATTTCATCGAATTCAGGAATAGTAAGCTTTTGTTGTTGTATTTCAGGAAGTTTAGGTAGATGGTCAATAATATCCTGCATTTCATAAAGATATTGTTCATTTGTTTCATCTTTTGCAGTGCAATCTAAATCTCCTTGGAGAAGTTCTTGCTTTATCTTCTGGATTTTTGTTTCGAAAGTATATGAAGAAGGAATGAAGCTTTTCATCTCTACCAACATTGACGTAGGGTTCATGACTAAAGAGTTTGGTGAAGTTGTTGCTAACATGTTCTTACAATAAAAATAAAAAAATATTTTTTTAAAAAACTAACTTTATTTTTTATGTTTTTTGTGAAAAGTGTCAAAACTCATGAATTTCGAGAGTTTTCTACGATGTTAGAAAACGTGTTAGAAAACGTGTTAGATCTAACATTCTAACATAAAATATATTTTTGGTGTAAATTTCATGATTTTCAAGAGTTTTAGACCATGTTAGAAAACATGTTAGAAAACATGTTAGATCTAACATTCTAACATAAAATATATTTTTGCCAAAAAAAAATGGTTCATTTACTCACAATATTTTTGTACAAAACGACCCCAAACTTTTAACTTCTTTTCTGCAGCTTCTAATGAAATTTTAGCGAGTTCATATTCTCTAAATTCTCTCTTTAAATCTTCTTGTTCCCATTGGTCTAGTTCGTATGGCGAGTCTCTATAACCAGAACATATCTCACGTTCATGTTCTATTTGTTTTTCATGCATTTTTCTAACTTCTTCTTCGAACAAAGGTTTTGCATTCTCTACTGTATCTTCAAGTTCTTCTTCATCTAATTTCTCATGAACTTTCTTGTCTATGGAGTCCAAAATTTTTCCAACTGCTATACAATATTTTGGAGAAGCCCACATTGCTATATAGTTTACAAGTCTTGGGTCTACATACGTTCCTCTAACCTGTTTGATTTCATCAGGAATTCCTGCATGAACTGTGTATAAAAAGCAACCCGCGGAATTCCGCGGGTTGGTATATTCTTCACAAAATGCCTCAAAATACTCTTCCCAGGACTTATTTTCCAACAACCTTCTAAAGTCTTTCCTAAACTGCTGACACATCTTTGTTGCATTTATATAACCATCCATGTCTCTACGTAAGACTTCAATACCGTTGTAAGTGCCTTTTGTGAATGTTTCGCCATTAGATTTGTTCGTGAACGTTTTTGCTTCGACTGTCATACTGTTCTTACAATAAAAATAAAAAAAATATTTTTTGGTGGGACGTCGGACATTCGTTTGTGGCTTAACCGTCGGACATTCGTTTGTGGCTTAACCGTCGACCCCCTCAGTAAACATCTCATTTTAACTCACTTTTTTTCTATCTTAAGGAAATTCATGAAAATTCACCTGTTGAATTTTTGTATAAAAAGCAACCCGCTGTTTTCCGCGGGTTGGTATATTCTTCACAAAATGCTTGTTTTGAGGTCGAGCCACTTTTGGCTCCACCTCTTTTTTCAACCAAAAACTCATTTTTGTCGAATTCAGCACAAAATTCATGAAAATTCAAGAGTTTTAGACCATGTTAGAAAACGTGTTAGAAAACGTGTTAGATCTAACATGCTAACATAAACATTATTTTTCAATACTTTTTCAGCACTTCTCCGTAGTTATATATGAAAGACAATTCGAGATGAAATTTCTTCATCTGATATAGTCTACCAGCGTTTGTAAAGATATAGTCTAACGGTTTTGTATCTGCTACTTTTGTTCTTTGTTTTTCAACCTGAAGCATTTAATATATGTAAAAATATACTGTTTTAAAATGGTATGCCATATAGCTTCTTGAATTTGTTAAGAAGTATTTAACGTGTTTTCCATCTGTATCTCTAGTGTTTACATAAGCATAGCCTTCCTTAGTAAAACATACTTGTAATTTCCTATAGTTTACGCCGGTATAAAAGTAGAAAGAGTCCTGTTCTTCGCTATAGTAGTAAAACTCAAACGTATGCTTGCCATAGTCTGTAATTTCAATTGCTTCATCTTCTAGTTCGTCGACAAATTCGAATACTATATCTCCAAATTTGCCTCTGTTCTTATTGTTTTCAGAACGAGTGACCCAGCGTAAGTTTTCAAGTCTATTGTCGTTTCTTATACGGTTTATATGGTCTACAAAAGGTAGATTGTTAGGGTTCGGTATAAAATGAGTTGCAATGACAATATGTTTAAAATAGCATTTCTCACCAATCCTCATCCTAGCATATCCGTCATTTCGCTCACATTCGCTTAAAACTCTTTTTGTCTTTTTGTTTCTGACTTCAAATGACTCACAACAGTGAATTTCATATTTCTCATCTAACAAACAAGTTTCCCAACGGTCTTCTCCAACAAACTCAGCGTACATTTCAAATAAAATAAAAAAATATATTTTTTAAAAAAATGTTTTTTCTTTACTTTACATAGCCACCAGCTACCAAAAGTCTTTGACGCCAACCCATACCAGCTAATGAAGGTTGACTAAACTTTGGTTTTGGTTTATCTTCAGTTTTTGGCTTCCCTTCTTCTATCGGTTTTTCGTCACTTTTCGGTTCCTCTGACTTTACCTCACTTGCAGGTATGGTTGTGTCGTTAACATCTTCATAAATATCATATGCCATTTGTTTTTGTTTTCCTTTCAACTTTTTGTGTTTGTTGTAAAGTTTAGAATATTTCGACTCTAAGTCAATGAGATGTTCTATAATGAACTGTTGGTCCGTGAAGTATACCTTCCCATCTGTTGTCTCATAAACTCCTTCAGACTTCAATATTTTATTTGTGAGAGTCTGTTTCTTTTTTGAGATACTAGCCGTTCCATTTCTATGAAAAGTGACTTTGTAGTTAGGGTTTGTATTTCCAGACCTGGCACTTTCTATTATTGAATTTTTCTCTTCATCTGTAAGTTCTTTGACAGGTTTTGACAATGGTTCTGAACTTTTTGTTTGTGGTGTCAAATCTACCGTTTCAACTTCTTCGGTCATTTCATCTCAGTAAAAAATTTTAGTTTGTTTTGTTTTCAACTGGTTGTTTAGGTTTTTTAAGTCGGTCTAAAACTTCCTGAGGTATAGGAGGACTTGACAAACACGTGGT